TTTAAGTGCTGCCAGCAGACTTCTCTTCAAAGTGTGAGGTAATCTCTACACAAATTAAGGGTTCTCGACTTTTGCCAGTCTACTGCATACATAACTACATCCCTTTAGCAGTATTAGGAGTGCAGTGTAAAGATATTGTCATTAAACCAGAGATCCATCCTACTCACATTAGAGAGGGGAATTTCAGTCACATTTGATATTCAAATTAAGGCATTATTAAATGTATATTTACTGTACTGAACCAAGACTCAGACCACAAGGCCATAGTAGATGACATGTGGCTAGACGTTTACACAGAAAAACATCATCCTCAATCGAAAGTCTTTAATGGAGACCCAAAAAACAAACCTGCATTTTCCATGTCAGTGCACGTGTGTTACTCGTCACTGCAAATCCATTCGCAAAATCATGAAATGTGAAGTCTCTGCAGTTTTTGTGTATTTTCCTTTCAAAAACAGAAGTGCAATTCCAACAAGCTATTGGGATTTTCTTTTCATTTCTACATCACAGCAAAACAGTACCTTGCCCACCACTAGAATAACCACACCCACCTACCTCACCTTCACCACCACCACCATTTCTGATCTAAACAAAAATAAATGTGCCGTTGTTGGATGCCAGGTTTCCAACAAATCATATTTTCAGGCTCTGAACTGTATATGCAAGTAAACACCTGAATAGGTTCTGTTTTTCAGTTTAGCTGATAACATGATGTGCCCTCTGGATGAATGTTTGCATCCCCTTTTGCGACTGAAGACGTCTGTTCTTGGCTAAGCTGTAAAGCAATTACTAGGCAACATCGGTGACGTTTTAACTCTGAGAACTGAGTTTTCGGACCTTAATCAGACCAGTGATAAAAAACTGAAATGCATAAGAGGTCTAAGACAAGAACACGTTGCTTGGACATCTCTGAGGGGTCTACACAGGACAGTTAACACTAAATTCCTAAGTCAGCAAGACAGCATCGTCAATAAACCACCATATTCTCACAAAGTGAAAAAAACAGGGCAATGAACGTGAACATGAACTGTTACCACTTAGAAACATCCTGCTGCATCCCTGGTGGTTGCAGTCCTTTTGTATTCTCTGACTAATTCTAGTTTGAACATATAATGCCACCGCACACCTGACGTGCTGCACAGCGTCCAAAAGTTCTAAACCTAATGGTGTGCTCCGGTGTCGACAGTGTGCATCAAAGCGCGGTGGTACTAGATCACATGCGACTTCAAACTAAAACTGTGGCTTGAAATTAACAGAAGTTTGTAAAGGGGTAGTAAGTATGATAAAATGATGCTGAAATTTTTTTGCATTACATTAAAACGACTGGAGTGTACAAATGAACTTGAACTTGTTTATATGTGTTTTGTAGCAGTGCTCTTCTACAAGAGGCTATAAAGCGATGGTCATCAACCCTGGCCTTGGAGATCTACCTTCCTGCAGGATGTAGTTCCAGTCATAATCTGCCACACCTGCTCCAGCGTATGGACTTCTTCAGAAGAGCCTGATTGGACAGATCAGATCCTTTAGTATTAAGTAAAGGGGAGGGGCATCCTGTTAAACCCCATGTGTCAAACACTAGGCCCGCGAGCCAAGTCAGGCCTGTGACACAGTCCTATTCGGCCCGCAAAATTATTTTAATTTTCTATTCTAAGTAGCTAGTTTCACCCTGAGATGCACTACAGTCCCCAGCATGCACTGCAACATAGTGTGCATTCTGACCCCCAACAACAATCTCTGGGTCAGTGGTTACACAAAAAGAAAAGATGTCTGGTGTCTAGTTCAAGCAAATAGGTTGTTTAAAAAAGCTGCCTCAAAAAAAAGCAGGTTCAAACTAAACTCTACAAGAAAGTAGATTGCCAGGAGGAGGACTGATAACCACTGCTATACAGTCCCATAATGCTGTAGTCCAATGCAGCTGTAGCTGAACTATATACAGCAGCGCAGTGACGACTCTGACTCCGCTCCCGTACGTGTCCCATACAAGTATCTCCCCCCGCCGAGTCGGCCAATAAGATTCTTCTCATTTGTATATTGAACGCTCAGAAAGCTACCCTTTTTTCACAGTTGAGAAATTTCTAGGTTAAAACATACTATACAAAAGCTGAATTAAAGCCACCATACGTCCACTCATCACAGACATCTTTTAAAGAGCACAGGGGAGCACATTAAACTGAGAAAAAGAGTAAAATGTCTCTTTTAAGATAAAGAGACACGATAATCGTCAGTTAACATCATTAGCCTTGCCGTATTTCACCTTGCTCTTTTCAGTTGGAAGACAGTGAGTTTATGAGGAGTTGGTTGATATCAAAACGTTAATGATGTGAAGTTTTTATTCCATTAAATCTATTCGGGTAGAGTGTAAAGTGAACTTGAGTTACTTGTTTATCAGTGCTTTTCTGTGATGCATAGACCTCTTGGCGGTGCAGCATGGTAGCCTTTAGCTGACTGCAGTAGAATTCATATTTTTTTATATGCTTCATTTTTCTACGCTTCCTTTTTTGAAGCAAACAGATATGAAACTCAGACCATAAGATGCAAGTTCGGACGCACTTGCATGTGAAAAATCTTAATTTACTATTCTACATTTAAAACTTTCATAACAACTTGAATATTTTAATATTCGTCTGCATATATGCACACCATTCTAAATTCATATTTTAGTTCTTACATCTCAATGTCTGACCACACAACCACATCCCTTCAGATGTATTAGGAGAGCAGTAAAATATTACGATATTGAGCCTGAAATCTATGCTTTATACACACAAGGGATGGGCATTTCAGTCAAATTTGATATCCGAATATTTAAGGCATTATTATATTAAACATACATAAACTGTACTGAACCCAGAGTTTAATCCATAGTAGATGTGGGGGCTTGAAAGTTACCCCAAGAAACATATCAACCTAAAATCTTTAAGATACACAGACACAATAATCATCTGTTTTTGCCTCAGCTGATGTTACTAGCATTGTATTTCACCTCATACTCTTTATTTGGAAAACAGCAAGTTTGTAAAGAGTTTCTGATTACTTAACAATTCTGGAAGTTTTCTTCCATTAAATCTATTCGAGTGAAATCGAGTGATATCTCGAGTGTAAAATGAGCTTGAGCTTTTTGTTTATCAGCGCTTTCCTGCAGTGCAGACTCTTTGGCAGTTTCGCACAAAGCTTCTCGCCAATGGCGGTAGAATTGTTCGCGTAAGCTGATAAGAAATTTCAAAACATATGGCACAAACTCTACACTGCCCTCTAGTGGAGATCAGAGTTTAGACAGCTTATGGTTAAAAGAATTCATTTTCATACCAAAACTTCTAACTTACTATTCAATTTTTCTATTTGAACATTGCGACTCATCCCTACCACACATAGGACCACCCTCCTCTCCCTCTAGTAGTGCAGACAGTGGGGATTTGGGCAGGATTCATGCTATCGGAGCCAGCGTAGTTCTGATTTCATGAATCCTGTGTGTGCTTGAGGTGGTGATAAGACGAAGAAGTGGGTGTGGGTGGAACAGAGGCTCGGGGCATGTGGTGGTGGTGGGGGGCTTCAAATGTAGCATATGGACGTCTGCTGGCACGCAGGAACCATAATGCACCGGGGCTCTCCGCAGGAGAGGCGCCATTTTACAGTGACACACAAAAAACACACGGGCGGGCGGGCGGTGATGAGCCATGTCAAGCTTCCCACTAGGCGAGGATCAGAGTCTCCTCACAGTGGGCCAACATTCTGTTCTAGAACCCCAGAAAACGTCCGGAACCCTCGGCCTGATTTGGAGACTTCAAGGGAGGAACCTTTCTTTTGTTTTTGCGAAGCTCTGCTGTGATTCGGATGCATAATTCATGACTGGGAGCAGGCGTGTAGGCTGTGCCTACGTGCCTGGAGCGTTCAGGCTACACCACAGTCCTCTCTCGCAGGGATCCGTTCCAACACTGCCATCATTGCCATGTTGCCATATACAGACGTTTGTGGGTGTGTGGGGGGGGATAAATGACCTTTCCAAACGTCTGCGTCTGTTGTTTCTCACTGCATTGGCACGAGTCTTATGTAAGATGTATGATCAGTAATAGGGCTGAAAAGAAGAATAAAAAACAAAGAAAAAAAAGACTGAGATAGTGAAAAATAATTTTAAAAAAAGCACCAAAAGCGTCGTGCTGCATAGACAGTCGCCCAGCGGACTGTGTATGGCATGGCTATGAAGCTCGAGCCTCGGGAAACACAACAAACCGCATGCGTAGAAAAAAAGAAAAACATGAGCGACAACGTCTGAGCGCGTGCTCGTGTCGTCGGGACGAGCGCGCGCAGCGACCTGCTCCAGACGGTCTCCCATCATCAAAAGCACAACTACGCTCTTAAAAAAGATGGTTCTTCAAGGGTTCTTTAGTATAGACAATAATTCTATATATAACCATGAACACTCAAAGAACCTAAAATGGTTCTCTGCATGGTAAAATGGTTCTTCAGGTTGATGGAGAATGTGCTGAATAAGGTTCTGCATTGAACATTTTTGAAAACGGTTCCATCTAGAACCAAAAAGAGTTCTTGTACCGTTCAAAGCTTGACATCGTAACAATAGCCCTCTTTTGGTGCTATATGGAACCATATACAACACATTCTTCATCAACCTGAAGAACCAATTCACCATGCAAAGAACCGTGTAAGCATGCAAATGGTTCTTTGAGTGTTCATGGTTCTATATATAACCATCTTTCTTAAGCGTGTAGCTTGTCATCATCGTTGGTCATCGCGATACTTTGCTCGCGCGTCTGATTTTTGGCACGGTCTCTAATCACTGTGCTAAAATCTCATTCGCCAGCTTCTTGTTCGAATTCTCCCGTTCCACCTTAAATGGTGCCGCAGTTGCATTCTGGCGCTTCAGGCTCCCCAGCGTAACCTGCACCATTTAAGGTGGAACGGGAGAATTCGAACAAGAAGCTGGCGAATAAGCAGCTGACTTCAGCTTCGTAATAAGGCGCGAGGCGTGCGGGATGCACATTTACCTTTTGATGTAGTTCTTGCCGTAGAGGATCTGCTGCAGCAGCGTGACCAGTCCGAACGCGCATATGAAGATAAAACACAGAGATCTGTTTCCCAGCAAATCCCTGCTGGCCGTGGGGTCCGCGTACCCCATCCTCCAACGTTAGAAAATAAAAAAGAGAGCAAGGGCACTTCTGGGTCAGTCCTCGCGGGACATGCTTTAGCCTAAGAGCGAGCGCCCATTTGTGTGTTCAGTTGCGGTGGAGAGGAGGAATCTCGGTGGGTTTTGATACGATACAAATGCAGTGACGCTGCTTCAGCATCGTCTCCTGGAGGTGGGTGGGGGGGGTGTTTTGAGGGGGGGCGGGGTGCGCACCACCGATGCGCTGTAGCAATGCAGCGTTACACTCGCTTGGCGCTGTTTTTCCCCCACCCGTATTCAGGTCGTGCCGAATATATGGGAGAACGAGCCACAGCGCAAGAAGGCGGGACGTGTCGGAAAACAGGGTGGGGAAAAATAAGAGGCGTGACTGGAAATAGACGTTTTGGTTCGTGGGTGAAAAAACCGTAGACAGAACAGTAGACAGCCGATTTTAAACTGAGCTTACCTTTAATGGGAATTCCACTCGTTTTCCAAAATTTCAGCTTATTCAGTGCTTTGAGATGTCATTCAGAGAGGTTTGGTGTGAAATGGTTGATTGTAGAGACTCAGATGTCTTTACAGTGGTGGTGATAGGAACCAGTGGGTCACCATGTCTACAACACAAAAATAGACATTTTATTTACTGTTCAAAACCACCAGTGAACCTACACGAGTCTTCTGAGTTTTTATATGGAATGCTGATGATGGTAAAACAGTGATAAATCTGAAAACAGTAGTTTTTTGGGACTATTTTGCCTCACAAAATGCTTCATGTATCTCTCCGCCATGAACGGATTCAAATACATTTTAACCCAAAGCTTTATCACAAAACTATCATAAAACAAAGTGTCTGGCATCATGCTGAGTATTTATAACTATTTATGTAGTAACTTTCTGTGAGGGAGCTTTTAGAGGTGGACGTCTGGTTCCTATCACCACCACTGTGAACAATTCTGACTCTGTAAGTTTCTCTAGAACAGAGCGTTTCACACCAAACCACTCTGAATGACTCTGTTTACATCTTAACCATTTAATTATGTAGAAATTTATAAAGTTCCCCTTTAAAGTTAGCAATGTCACAGTGTATTTTACTGTTTGGTACATAAGCAAAAATTAGAGACCACCCTTCATTTATTTAATTCCCAGTTAACACAGCCATTGTATACAGTGTCAGGAATTTAGCAGAAAACATATTTAATTGAAAATTACACAGAAGCCTCAACAACTAAATCTCAAATGTTTACAATATCTAGCTTGTCCACCTTTATTATAGATACACCTATAGGGATCTTTATCCCTTCATACATCCCCCTTTATAAGGAGTTCCCCACTTGGCTGATACACAGGAATTTTGCTGAATTTTCGGGCTCTATATTGGAAACCTCACGCTATTTCAGTGAATAAAGCTCTTGCACTAATTGCTAATACCACAGGCCTTTATTAAGTTCTTGTACATTTGTATATAACAGATCTTTTATTGCCTCTAAACCCTTAGGATATTTAATATACAGTATGTCTGTGCTGTTCAAGTGTTTTATGTTTCTGCTGTTGTAACAACATAATCAAGTTCTATCTATCTATGTATCTATCTACCTGTCTGTCTGTCTATCTATTTATCTGTCCGTCTATCTATCTATCTATCTATCTATCTATCTATCTATCCATCTATCCATCTATGTGTCTGTCTATCTATCTATCTATCTGCCTATCTGTCTGTCTGCCTGCCTATCTATATTTCATTCTTTTCAGAAGACTCACTTTCAGTTCCTCAGTTTCTCAGCTGTCAGTTCATCCCTAACACATTCAGTGATGTTGAGGTCTGGGGTCTGGGGTGGTCAGTCCATTGTTCAGCTTCTTTGTTTGATGTGTCCGTCTCCTTTTCTCAGTGAGGTTCTTCTTGATAGCTACACATCCTTTCAGACCCATAGCGCTGAGTCATCTTCTCACAGTGGAAAAATGGACAGAAACACCTGCTTTAAGTGCTGTTCACCTGGTGGTGGTAGTCTACCAGGTCTTCCAGGTGGTTGTTAGCAGTCTCATTTTCTCCGTAGCTTTTAATTCTTTTTGGAAACTCATAAACAAGCGGATTATCTTATATCTAATCTCTTCAGAAGTAGCTCCCAAAAATAACTTGCATTTATTTGCCATATGGACTGGACATTACATAAATAAAGGGCAGTTTCTTACTTTTGCACTGCTCTGCAGATATGCATGGCCCTCACGGAACAAGATGGGAAAAAAGGATGAAATGTGATCAATAAGAAAGTTCACAGTGACAGTCCTGTTCAAACATACAGGCACAGCACAGTTACATATTTTAAGCAGTGCTGTGTTGACCTCCCATACAAAAAGAGCTCCCAGTCCATTATTAGCAGTTACTGGTACAGTACCGCTTAGATGTACATCGACTGAACTCCTAAAGGACTTCACACTAGACTATAAACCACTATATTTTATTAACTGTATAGTTACAATCCTATACAGTTAATAGTTACTATAATAAGTTACCAAGCTGACTGTTCTTATTTATCCACCTGGGTCTACAAATTAGACTCATTTAAAGAGACACTGGTCAAAATTAAAAACATTACCATTGCTACATCTTTTGTAAGCTTGACTACTCGCCTCCTGCAGTAGTAGTGCTGCAGTAGTCGCCAGAGTGAGATTAGAGTGAGAAAACTCTTCTGATGATGTTTCTTAAAGGTGGCAGAAACGTTTAAAACAACTGGCCCGCACAGAGCCCTGACCTCAGTGCCATCTAACATTTTTTGGGATAAATTTTGGAATGCGGTTTGCCAGCCCTGCAGTCTTGTTACAAAATCTAACAGAAAGTCTTTCTAACAGAAAGGGTGGAAGCAGTTATACACACAGAAGGTAACTAGTGGCAACGGTTCACACTATCAACTTAAATTATTGCTGTTGGTATCTACAGAACAGCTGATTCCAACATCCATAGTAAAATTAACCCAGCAATGTGTAAAAAAGACATCAGCTGGGTCATTTTAACAACTCAGCACAATGGTTAAATTACTTACACCACCCAGTTGGGTCACAAAAACCCACTATGTGTTCTGTTTCATATATTTGGGCAGAACATGCTGGGTTATTGTAAAAAAATATATATATTTGAAACAGACATCATCTGCCTTGAACAGGGTCTTGTGTCCCAAAGCTTGAGAGTTGAGATTGTAAAAAGTTGGTGTTATAGTTTAATATTTTACTTACCAGTTTTACAGTTTTAGCTTCTTCCACAGTAGGACGTTTGAACTAGCAGTGGGAGGAACAGGTGCAGTATGTTCAATGCAATGGTGGTCCTTATATCTAAGAGAAAATAAATGATAATTTAGAGTGAATCACTTTTAATTTGATAATGTTTCGATAATCACAGTTATTTTAGTTAACCTCCGTAATCATATCGCTGCTATCATGATGAATGGACCAAAAGAAATAACCCAAAATTACTTGGAAAAATGTCTGGTTCCATTGACATGAAAAGTAAAGTATGTTTTTTCCTTCTCTTGTAAAGTTAGGTTTTCTTCCGACAACAGCAATATACAACTGATGGAAACCTACCTACTGTCAGGTTTTACAAATCCTGTACTATCAAATTCTATCAACTGTTCATTATAAATGAAAATCAACTAAAATTGAAAACATAGCTGAGTATTAATTGTCACTTGTTTATTATTTAGTTTGTTGTGTTGCTCTCTGAAAACTTAATCTGCCACTGCCCCTCTCTCTGACGTTTAAGCTGAAAGATTTAAACTTGCTAATAACAAAGCCTTTGACAATACAGTAAAACAAAATATTTTTAAAGCACTGGAATTAAATAACAGTAGTGAAAACAAGGAAGCGTGTGGTAAGTAACTGAGACAGCAATATCGTTCAATTAAATGGTTTCTAATCTTACAAAGTTAGATGGTTCTTCAAGGGTTCTTTGGTAAAGGAAATGGTTTTATTTAGAGCATATCGTGTAAACGGTTCTATACAGCACCATATACAGCACGTCAAACTTGTAACAACAAAAGAACTCTTTCAAATGCCATACACAACTATATGCAACACATTCTCCATCAGTCTGAAACGATTTAAGCTAGGATAACCATTCCCAGGACATTCCCCGTCTTTCATGGCCTGTGAATTAAAAACACACAAGAAAGTCCTAAGATAGACCTGGCAGCACAGCAGATAGGCTCTTGGTTTTCTACTAGTCAAATCTCTGGTACCACGTACCAGGTACTATTTTTGGTATCACCTCCGTCAAGGTTCCAAGCGAGCTAAGCCGATACCGAAAGAGGACGTAAAAACACTACAGACTACTGATCAGAGAGATTTGCTAAACAAATGTGTTAATGTTCGCTACCAGGTTAGTTTACCCTAGTCGTCTGAACCGTACACTGTTAGTAATAAAGGTTCTGTTCAGGTACATTTTTCATTCATCAAAGTACAAACTGTGTAAATGTTCCCTCAAAGGTACAACAGTGGTTTTAGGGTCCAATTGTGAACCTTAAGTAAGTTTTCCCAGGTGCATAATTGGACAAGTACATATTTGTACCTTTTCATAACCTAATATTTTAAAACAGAACACTAAAATAAAAAGCCTGGAGAGGAGGGGTGTATTAGAAAATATAATTTCAGTGGATTATGGTACAGTTCTGTTCTCTGACTAAAGGTACTAAGATGTACCCTTGAGGGTCCCACCCCAGTGACAGGTTAGTATCTTTTTTTCTGAGAGTGAAGTGTTTCCCAAACTCTCCTGTTTTTTTTTTCAGCAGTCTTTTGACTTGCTGCCATCAGCCTCTTCTGAACGACATCTGTCTCCTTCAAGTCTTGGCAGTTATGCAGCATCACTATGACGACCAGCCACTTTATTTTCCACTATCTGCAGTGAAAAACGAAGTAGCTGGTACCAAAAAGGAGTAGAGTCAAGTCTAAGCTTTAGTTTGTACCCCATTTTGTCAGTCGGTCTGATAAAATGGGGTACGACAGTTACCATGGTCAAAATACATGAAACTGGAACTGCTTCCGCCCCCCTTCTTTTATTTCATAGATAAAAACATTGGGCATTTTAATGATGCATTGACCGCCGAACTGGAAATGTCCCCAGTTTTTATTTCAGAAATCTGGTCAACTTAATTTAGGCAGGCAAACAGAACTCACGGTTCTAAACAGCGAAAGGTTTTGGGGGAAAACGTTCTTGAGAATAACCCACTTGCTGAAACGTTTAATTACCTTTATGTGCTTTAATACGCTTAAAAGTAAATACTTTGACCAACTCAATAACATTTATTGTATTATTACATATTACATGTGATATTTGTGTCACAGTACCGATACTCTCACTTCAGTAGGCCTACACGTTCTCTTTAACGATTCCATCCCTGTTGTTGATAAATGACAGAAACTCAAGCTGATTATCAGTCGATTATCAGTCTGTTAACACGCCTGAAAGTATTAATAAAAAATAACTTGAAAAATAATATTTCCTTACTTGGAGGACGAACCGCCGCTGGACCCAGCCACCTCACTGAGCTCCTCTGAGCCGTTAAATTTCGAATTTTAAATAGGCGTAATTGTGCGCGCGGGCTGCAGCAGAGCGCCATAGCCGCCGAGGCGCTGGACTAAAAACACATCAACTCATGTTAAAGGGGAATTCCACCCAATTTTTCCAAAATTTCTGAATAATTCGGTCATTGAGATGTAAACTGAGTCATTCAGAGAGGTTTGGTATGAAATGGTTCATTGTAGAGACTCAGCTGTCTTTACAGTGGTGGTGATAGGAACCAGGGGTCACCATGACTACAACACAAATACAGACATTTTATTTACTGTCCAAAACCACCAGTGAACCTACACGAGTCTTTTGAGCTTATATATGGAATGTTGATGGTGGTAAAATAGTGGAAAACCTAAAGGTAAGTTTTCTTTGGGGACTATTTTGCCTCAGAACACCCTTCATGTATCTATCTGCACGGAATGGACCAAAAGAAATGTATTCAAATACATTTTAAGCCGAAACTTTATCACAAAACTATCGTAACACAATGTCATCAGGGTAAGTGTTCATAACCATTTCATGTAGTAACTTTCTGTGAGGGAGATTTTAGAGGTGGACGTCTGGTTCCTATCACCACCACTGTGAACAATTCTGACTCTGTAAGTTTCTCTAGAACAGAGCATTTCACACCAAACCACTCTGAACGACTGTTTACATCTTAAGCAATTAATCATGCAGAATTTTTCTTTCTCCAGATAAAGGGTACTTCATAGCGTATTGGAATATGTCCGACTGGAACGCAGCAAGATCAGTTTAAAATGAAGAATGATAAATTGGAGAGGAGGACTGTCCTCTCTATAGCACAAGAGAGAAAAATTGTGGTCAGGAAGAACTCTCACTCAAACTCTCTCTCCAGCTCATCAATCGGACACTGGAGGGCGCTCGCGAGAGTGCAAAATGCATAGGGACTTATGGAATTTCTGTGCAAAATTGTAATCACTTAAAAAAAAACCCTCCTCCTTTTCTCAGTGCAGGGTTTTGTAATAGTGCCTTACTGACACTAATGACAGCATTTACTAGCAGTAATTCCCAAACTCCCTGTTTGTTCTTTCTAACAAGACAATTAGGATCTTGTTTCAGATTAATATTATTTCAAAGCCTGTTTGTGGTCTCATACTGGAATATACGTGTTGAATTTATACTTTAAAGTACACTCTTGAGCAATAAAGTGAGACAAGTTCGCAACGGATTTATTCACTGAATTTACTCTGCTGAAAATACATAGAAACCACTAAGTGTTCCTGTTGGTTCCTAATGGTTTTGGCTTTTTTAATGGGTTGATGTCACAACATGAATGATCCTAATGGTTTAACAGGTGACCAGTGGCCGATTCTAAATGGAGTAATGGTTTCTTAATCGGATCTAAAGGTGTTCTACAAACTAGTGGTCTCTACTGGAAACAATTAAGCCAATTTCCATTAGAAAGGAAAACCACTGGGTTTTTATCCCAATTATTTTTCTAATGGCCCTTTTTCATCAGGGTAGACATTAGGCCTCATTCCCCAATCAATCTTAAGAATTTCTTCTTAGGCAGTTTTTACAAAAATTCTGGCACCAGTGTTTTCTTTCCTTCTTTCTAAAGAACAGAATCTACACATTCAAAAGCACAAAGGTATGAACAATTCTGCGGTTTAAGAACACATCGTGAATCTGACTCAAGACTTTTTCTTAGGACCTTTCTCAAGAACACATTTAGGGGGAAAAAACAAACAAACAAAAAAAAACTTATGTTGGTGAATGAGGCCCAATGATAAAAACATACTTTTGTGTAGATACCTCAGAAGTCTGAAACAGCATCTACCAAGCTACATGGATTAACAAATACAAAACCTTGTTCATCCTCATTTTCAAATGAACTAAAGCTGAATAAAACCCACTATTCCAGCTTCCAAAAGTCCCAAAGCCACTGAAACGTTCCCTTTTCTGGCATCTTACTATGTTTAGAATGCTTCAACTTTTTATCTGTTCATTTTCCCTCCCCACTCACTTCTCCCCTTCTAATTTTACTGCTTTCTGAATGTGATCACTGCGGAAGTACTGTAATCCACATCTGACCTTCATAAACAACATTCTCTTTATATATTACAAAAAAATCACAATACAAAGACACTGGGCATTATTCTGTTTTTAAACTACATCATTACACCTCTCCAAAAAAAGAGGTTCTGTGGAGTGACTGGAAACTTTTAATAGTCTGGCTTCATTCATGACTCACTGATGGCTCGTGCACCTGCCTTCGTGTTCTGCAGTCGAGGTTTTGGTATAATAGGATGTAAAGGATGTGGGGAAGCCAGCCCTAAACTGTCTGGTTTTAGTAACTAGCTTCTGCACCGGAAATCAAGTTTGTACTGTATGACTCAAACAGGGAGGCATTCCAGATTGTGACCACTTATGAGCAGAACACTTTCATGATGCATTACAATACTTAAAAAAAAAAACAAAAAAAACAAAGGGGGTTCCTTAGTGAAGAAAACCGTTCTATATAGAACAATGAGCACTCAAAAAACCTTTACATGACTAAAAGTGTTCTTTGCCTCATGACAGTGCTCTTTGGATTGATGGAAAACACACATCAATGTACTATAAATGGTTCTGTATAGAACTACAGCACATTCCTCAGTCTGAAGAACCCTTTTAATCATGCCAAGAACTCTAAGTATTCGCGGTTTTAAAAGAACCCTAAACAACTCAAAGCATGTTTTTTTTTTTTGTAGGACCAATCCAATCCAAAAAAAAATGTTACTCAATTCCAGGTCACAGAACTACACGAGATGTTATATTTAATCCCAGTTTCTCTCATGTGACAAGGCCATAAAGCACTATTACAACAGGAAAAAAAAAAACACGAGAGAGAAACAAACACACAAAAGCCCCAGATGTTGTTGACATGTTTATTAGAAACATCGTTTATGAGGAGCTGGATGCAGCCACTGCCGCACGCCTGGGTTTGGGGACAGTTCCCTCACGGAATCCATTCCTGAAACAAAAACACTTCAGTTAATACTATAGCCAGAAAAGGTTAATCAAATCTACCTCAGCACAGAATTAAAAACATCAGTTCAGATGTTTAACTTTCATTAAATTTGTATTTTGATCAGTCTCAGTTATGGACTTTGCAAATATGGATTTTAGGTAGGTTATAAAAGTGTCCTGCAGCAAAACAGTTATGGTTATTTTTATTTGTATGGAAGCATTAGTTCAGGCAGCTACAGGTACAATGGCAATCAGAACCCCTCCATATGAGTGGTACTAATTGTTTCAAAATGCTAACAGATTTCACACACAAAAAAAAAAAAGGATTCAAAACATAAATTTCACAAGGAAGTGGATGAGCGGTTTTTTGTTTCGAAGCAGGAAAAAAATGTATATATTCTGGATTATAAAGTCTTTCAGCAAATGATCACCCGCACATTCGATAAGGTCAGCAACACGAGGTACAGTAACTTTGCTCTGCTGTCTAAATGTATCAGGGACTCAAACATCCTTCATTCAGTGAGACGTCTTTCGCTTTTGCACTGAGACTGGATTTTGGAAATTTGTCCACAACAGGGAAAGAATGAATCCCAACATGTGCAACAGCTATTAAACAGTTATTCCACTGATTATTCTAACAATTTAAACATTCAGAGTGGTTTGGTATGAAGTGCTCCGTGCTAGAGAAAATTGGTGGTGGTGGTGATAGTAACCGAACATATGAAGACTTAATTACTCTAAAAAGATACTGCACGGAAAAGATATTACATGAAATTTTTACCAATAAGCTGCTTTATGCCTGCACCATTGACTTACAATAGTTCTCAGAAGACCTGTAACTTTAAATACATTCATTGTGTTGAGGTACATGCAGAGCATTAAAACAAAAAAAATCTTTCCCATAGTCAACACTGCATATCGCTATCAGAAAAACTTGCATTCCAATTTGTCTTTGACAATTTGGAAACACCAGCTGTCCTTATTGTGTAAACGCTCATAGTGAATTCAGTAGAAATGCTTCAAAATGGTTTTACATTAAGAAACATTCTTAACTTGAGTTAAAGCTAAACACTAAAGATAACCCCTGGTTCCCATCACCATCACTAAGAAATAAGTTCAGAAGTTTTTCTATATTGCACCATTTCTGACCAAACCACTGAATAATTACATCTAAACTAAGTAGGAATTATTAGAGTGAAATTCCATTTTAGTCAACTCACCTGAATCTGCGGAACACAACCTTCATGTGTCTCATGCGGCCAGTTCCAGTGGTGCTGCGCCTCTTGGCCTTAGCGCTCCAGTTGTCTAACACCACAAGACAAATACATTTAAACATAGTCCATAAACAGCGACAGCCCTCAAACATGCACCCATTAAAAAAAAAACAAAAACAGATTCCCCAGGATCAATGGGATCCCACAGAGAATGGCATCCGAGAAGCATTCACCAGTACAAATCCAGCCTTGTTTTGAATCTCTGTTAAACACGCTGACAAGTCCTATGTCAATTTATACTACAGGACAGAAAAATCTCTCCACCCCAAGAATTATTTTTTCCAAGTCATCTATTAGCATCAATTAACACAAGATAGTTCTGTACATCACTGGTAAGCATCACATAACGCATATTGTCTCATACTAGTCTAATACAAGGGATACTCATAAAGGGTGTTACAATTACATGTCCATCGCCAACACCATCACACCCCAGTGTTAACACTAAAAACCAAAATGCCTGCTGTAACACTCACACTTTCTCTTGCGCTTGGCAGGGTAGCCGCACTTCCCGCAGGTGGACTTCTGCAGGTGGTACGCCTTGGAGCCGCAGCGGCGGCACAGCGTATGAGTCTTATTGCGGCGCTTCCCGAAAGACGACGTTCCTTTCGTCTGGAAAAAAAAAAGAGCAAAGCATCAAGTTAAATTCTTCTTATTGGTTAACGTTACAATCACTTTTTCCCCCCATTACAGGCAAAAGAAAGCATGAACACAGAAATAAATCCTAAAAAAAAATTCAATAACTCCCACCAAAACAATGGAAAAGAAACAATTCACAAAAATGAAAAATACTAAAAAGTATACCTACATAAACACACGCACAAAACAAATCAACCCTTTATGGTACCATTTACATTTGTGGACCCCACATACAGACAATCCTGTCTTGGAAGGAGTGTTGATACATTTAAAGTACTCCAAATTGAGATGGTGACCCTCTAACCCTATGGTCACCAACCCTCCTCCTAGAGAGCCACATTCCAGCAGGTTTCACCTCCAACCCACCTGCAACACACCTCATTCAGCCAATTAGGGACCCCTGACAATAACAAGGATCAGGTGGAGCTGATGAAGGCTGGGGGCGAAAGTCTGCAGAAGGTTAGATCTCCAAGAACGGGGTTGGTGACCACTGCTCTAACCCAATAACTATGGTCGGTTTCTCCAAAGCAGGTCACCTGCCAAACTTTATATACTCTTAAGACACTTTATATAATTTACAGTTTGTTCAGGACCAACCAAAGCCTCCTCTACTCTCTGGCACACTGGGCAGGTGGCCCCATCCACCAAACCAGGCTTTTACTACCTTAACATTTTATTTATTATAAAAACAAGCGTAACTGGCAGTTCTCTGTAAGATGAAGTGTTAGGTTAACGCAGATCATCGAGTCTGGACGGTGAGGGTATCAACATTAGCTCAAGCATGGCTACTCTTCTGAATAACTGTAGTGTCTAAACTGCCAGCAAACAACTCGGTATCTTGAGCCACGACAGCTGAAGCGATTCCGTACAGCACGATTTCATCCGCTGGCAATTAAAGTTTATCTAAAGCAAAGGAAAAGCAGTAAAAGCTCCCCGAACAGCAACGCTTAGCTAACCCGCTAACTAGCGTTAGCGCTTTAGCCACCACAGCCGGAGAACGACTAAACCAGCAGCACTGGCTAAAAATTTAGACCCAGTTTACTCCATTACGTCTTTTTCAGAGCTGGACAAACTACTGAAAACATCAGCCTGACACAGTCAGGTCCTTCTCCAGCACATCAGCAGGCCGTACTGGAGCGTCTCACCGCAGCGGCTATTCACTGTACTACAAACACAGATATCTCATTTATTATCTTCCAATTCTCCACAATATCGAGCGGAATCATCTTCAGAAGTCTTTAATGCGTGATCGCCTCAGTGAAATGGGGATATTAAAGTGCAGTAAAGAAGATGTTTGAGGATTTCTAGCAGCAGCGCTGATGGAGACTCACCATCTTTCTCCACTCGAGATCCGAAAGAGGCCGGAAAACCGTGCAGCGCTGAAATAAATCCTCCGGCCAGGCTGCAGTTGGCTTCCTGTTCGCGAGCTTTTTTGGGATTTTTCCGTTCCACCTTAAATGTGCAGTGGTTACATTCCGCTCCCGAGGCGTTATTATAAGAACTGCTGCACTGTTTAAGGTGGAACGGGAACATTTGAGGGAGAAGTTGGCGAATTGGAGAATAAGAAGCTGAATTCCGCTTCATAATTCGGACGCTTTCTGACAAAATAATCAATCGAAACTTCTAAAATCAAAGTGTTAAATTTCTCATTCTAAATAACCGGGTTGTATAAATAGTCTAGTAATCGGTTTAATTGTTTGTTTTTCCTGTATTCTGTTGTTTGTGTGGGTTTTTTGTGTGTGTGTGTGCTTTCTTCTGGAAAATCGATTATTAGATTAAAATCAGTTTAATAAAAATATAAATCTCTCTTTGAAACGTGAAATATATTTTTAAAAAGCTTAGCATCATTGGTGGTGTTACACTGAATCCTTTCCTCCTGTCGCATTTTCGGTGCGATTGAATAATGATTAAATTTGAGATTATGTGCTGAATCTCTGCGTGTACTTATAACCAGTAACAAGACTTCGCGGACACCAGATATGCAGCTGTTTTACGAGATAACGAGAAATTTTCATTTGTTTTCTTGAGATCTTGCGTTATTTATATCATTGGCATGATACAGTGAATGTTGTTTTTGAGATCTCCAGATATTTATGCCATTATCACAACATAACGAATGTAATCTGGATAAAACAATGTCTGCTATGTCATAATAATGATGTACATAACTCAAGATCTCAAGAAAACATTCAGCTTGCGGTAAGAATGACATAAATATCATGAGATCTCGAGAAGACAAATGAAAAAGCTTGTAATGACGGAAAAAAGTAGTAAAAAAGGGGTGCAAATGCATGGCCCTTTATCCGTACCAATTCTTAACAGTATCCTAAACACATTATTATCGTAATTTAGTGAATTCATAAGTGAATCGAATCATTGGTTAGTTGGTGTCTCTTGAGTACAAAATGCTTTTCACACAGCAGGATGTCTCAGTTAACCTGATAACTTAGGCCAAAAAAAAACAACCTGTCCAACAGGAGGAGAGCTAAACAACATTCATGCTGGACAATGTTTAGCTTTTGTTATCCAGCTGACTGAGAAATCCTGCTTTGTGAAATACTCCTCAGAAGAAACATCCTGGGGTTCCTGTTCAGGCATTTGATTGTATACCATCCACCGGCAGGGGGAGATAGAGTTCAGAACTATAATCCACTTCTACAGCAGACCGCTCATCTGTAGTGCAACAGAACAAAATTCTACACTGGCTCAGTCGCGCCCCCTGCTGGTAGAGGAACATAATGTAGAACTCCATGGTCATTGATGAGGTCAGAGACAGCACAATTTCATATTTTCTTGCATTTAAGTCCCACTCACTAAAAATCAAAAGCTGAATCAGGTTTGTTCCCTGCTTAAAAAGCCAACACAGAACAGCATGCGTTTCATAGCGGTCTAAGCTGATCAGTGCTGGTTTAGCTGGTCATCCCAGCATGGGATACAGGACTGGAGCTGAAAAGACACGGGGGGGTGGGGGGATGGGGGGTATAGTGGTCAGTCATTCTTGTTTGGCCATCCTTAACAACAGTTTGTTATATATCATTCAGATTTTGACATTTTGATGTTACCACCCAGGCCTTATATTGTACACCATCCACCAGCAGGGGGAGGTAGAGTTCAGAACTGTAATTGTTAAAGCAAGCCTAAGTTTTAGTTCCCGGTTTGATTAAATGTTGACTTCATTCTCTTCAGTGCCAGCAAACAACATGGTACTCTGAACCACAACGGTTGAAATGCCTGACATCGTAACAGTAGAACACCACTTTTTGATGCTGTATAGAACCATATACAACACTTTCTCCATCAATCTGACCATTTCACCATGCAAAGAACTACTTATGCACGAAATGTTTCTATATAGAATTTAGTAACCTTTTTAAGTTGGTTTTGTGTTTTCTGCTTCTCACCATCCAAGTAATCCCAAACACATTCAGTGGTGTTGAGGTCTGGACTCTGGGGTGGTCAGTCCATTGTTCAGCTTCTTTGTTTGATGTGTCTGTCTCCTTTTTCAGTGAGGTTCTTCTTGATCAGCTACACATCCTTTCAGACCCATAGCGCTGAGTCGTCTTCTCACAGTGGAAGGATGGACAGAAACACCTGTGGATGTTTTCAGATCTGAAGCAGCTTGATTTTCTCCTCTCTCTCAGAGATGAAAGCTTTAAGTGCTGTTTATCTGATGGGGGCAGCTTTGGGCTACGGTCAGGAGTTTTCATTTCTGATATAACACTAGTGCGGTAGTTTCAGAGCTTTACAGCATGTTCCCTCTAGGCCAGTACAACATTAGGAGGCAGTAGTGGATGAGTACTGAATGTTCTTGTGAGAGCTGGTTATTTGATTGTAGTGATCTTTCATAAATATATCCCAAGACACATGGTTTTTATCTGCAGCACAAAATCATTTTGAGAGGCTGCTGTGTGTTTTATATGACAGCGGGAGGCATCTTATAGCAGCAGGAAGCTGCTCACAGACCTCTGATGGAACATGCAGGAAAGATCTTTATACTCTAATAAAACAGCAAACGGCACGCTGGAGAAATTATGAAATCATTACACTTGGAGGATGTTCACCCAACTTTTTTACCTTATAGCAAAGAAACAAATCACAGACATGACTCAAAACTATTTTTGTTTAATAGCTGAATATTCTTGCTTCATGAAATGTACCTCAAACAAATTAAATTATTTTATTTTATTATTGACATCTTTGTCCTGATCAAGTAGAAGAAAACATATGGATTCACTCAATGTTGAGGAAAAATTTATGGAATCAGCAACAAAAAAAGCACAATTAGTACTTTTTGCTCCTCCTTGGGTTTTTGACAGCCTGCATTCTTTGAGCCTCTGCATTGACTGTTCAGGTGGTGATTGCTATCTTCCTTGGACCTTAACCTGATATGCAAACCTCTATCATAACTGAGTGGGGAATGCAGATTGGTGATTCACATCACTTTCCTCCACTCGCCCACACTCCACGATTGCTTCTCGTTAGCCCACTGCAACCTTGTTTTCTTCTGTTTAGGTAAAAATAAAATAATCCTCTTTACAGTAAAATAAAGCTCTGTTGATCGTTCAACACAGTTTAACAATAAATGGTCTTAAACTCTGGAGTTAATGTAGAACTGCTAATTCACCCTTTAATCCTGAAGGTTGGCGCTCAGACTGCTGGTACCATAGCAACGCAGACAGCAATCTCGCCTAGCTAGTAGCTAAAGAAACGGCAAAGAGAAAGATTTAAGACGAACATCAATAATTTGGAGACAAATAGACTCATTGAGTTTATAATCACTCCAGCTGGTTTCCTGATATGTTTAATCCGCAGTGAGAAACTGACAAACACTAAAAGTCGTGAAGCTGAAGTCCAATTATTCACCAACTTCTTGTTCAAGTTCTTCTGTTTCACCTTAAATGGTGCAGCAGTTACATTTTGGCACCTGAGGCACCATTTAAGGTGGAACGGGAAAATGTGAACAAGAAGCTGGCGAATGAGAAGCGACTTCAGCCTCGTAAAAAGTCGAATGTTGAGAGACATTTTATAAGAAACTGTTCTACTTTTCAGGAAAAGTTTCCTGCTGGAGATGCGAGACAAGAGACTATAGCTGAGCTAAAGCTTATAGCAAAGCGAAGTAAGGCTGTGTTTCTGTTCATATTATATTTGTTAGCCTATTTTAGTACATTAGTGTATACTGAGATGTATTTACAGCCAAGATAGTAAAACGGACATAAAATGTTGTGGCTCTCAAGGTGGTTTGTTTTTTGTTGAAAGGACTAGGACTAGGCGAAAGAACTAGGTGTTAGTACTGGTTTTCGTTCGGCTCTTCTGTATGTGAATGTCATTTCATTCAGCTGATTTCTTTCTCTGTCACAAACATTGACTCCCGTTTCCACCCATTTGTTTTCGTGTGCATTTTCTATTTTCAAGGCGTATTGCTTTGAGATTTCCATCCTGGTGCTTTGATGTCGTCTTTGATCTGCTCTGTTTTCCTTTTATAACCTTCCCGTTTTGTCTAAACTGGGAACAGCCAACATCTTTTGCCGTTTTGGATTTCCTTCTTGAACGAGTTTTAGAATCCTTTCCGTTGTTTCAGTTGACGACTCTCCACGTTTTCTTTTAACTAACCAAGTCCAACAGCGCATGAAGCTCTGTAAGCACTCCCTTTTAACTGATTTGCATTTTTAGACTGCAACTTACACGTTGGCTCCACATTTTTCTCCTCAGTTTTGAGCGATTCTAAATTTTACATTCTACATGATCTGGAAAAAGATTAATTAAGCCATTAGTTAAAACAATTTTGTGTGTATCTGCAACAAATTAACCCTCTCCTGCACGCATTAGGAGAGCAATTTTTTGAAAAAAAAATCGATTTACTTTTCTGGCATAAAATTGATCTGATTATTAAATTGGAAAAACATTTTTTAAATAATGTGTGCATGGTTCCTTTTGGGGTATGTTGAGGGGAAGAAATGATATGGAGCCGTGTTCCCTGAGGTGTTCAGACCTGGCTTGTGACTGGCTTAATCCATTCAACTGCTGCACAATGTTGCTTCTAGGCAACAAACACATTTTTGCAAATTCTCATAACGAAAAAAGAGGTTTAGAAGTGTCCACTAAGAAATAGTAAGACCAAATACATGCTTTTTATTGACCTACTCAAAGTCTTCCCCTTGTTGTTAACCTTGTCATTGTCGTTAAATATGTATAATGTTATTGTAAAGTGAGGAAAATGGGTATGTTACCCTGAGGCAACATCGGGCAATAGAGGGTTAAGAAGCTAATATCACAGTTAGTATGCAGGTTAACCACAAACCATATAATCATGCAGACATTTTGAAAAATCAGGGGGATTCTCCTTTAATAAAACAGCTGGGCACGGCTGTGTAAACACGACAAGCGCTTTTTGGTTTTTATGAC